TATTCATATGTAACCCATCTTTTTACTTTACTGATTCGACAGTTTATTTAATAAACTATCGAATAAATAAAGCAAAGGGTGATTTACACATGATCGGAAAATCCCGAAGGGTGATTTTCCTAGCAAAGATCCCATATTTTAAAGAAAGACCAACCAAATGAGTCACAAGCTCTAGCCACTAATTTAGCAACATCCATAATAAAGCACCCCAAATCTTTGAAAGCATGCTCAAATTCTGGTAAGTCATCTTTTGGCCAAATATTTGGATGACAATACATTGGGAATTCCATTTTTTGTTTTGGAGTTGCATTAGGAATGTCATATTTTGGATTTGCGTAATACGATCCTTTCAAATAATCTATTACAAAAAATCATCGATAATAAAATATTCAAATCTATTTTTGAATAGTTCTTATAATTAAAAATTCAATCTGATGTTCACTAAAATAATTACCAGCTTTTCCATTCATAATTTCTTTACCGCAACTCCATCCAAAGCTATAAAAACTTTCTTGACATACTGTTTTATTTTTTATAGTTTCGGGTAATGCTGAAAATACGGATGCTAAGCGTAATAAGCGAGTACGTTTTTCTGAATAGTCTTTAGGTAGGTTTTTGATTAATATAATACCAAGGCAATGTGAATGGTTTCCAAATGCTTCCTATACAATATGTGTAAATGAAAATTATTAATTTAAAATATTATTACAGTATTTTTATTCTATTATCTATGCTCACTTCGATAGCATCTGAAACGTCAACATTTGTCAAAATGTCATTGTAATCGAGAATAACGACTCCCTCGGGGCTTTTTTCGATATTCATTGACATTTTTTCATACCAATATGTACCGATGCGACTGATGCTCATATTTAAATGCGTACACATTAACATGCTTCATGTGATTAACTATGTGCCTTTGTCAAAATGTCATTGATAATCAAGAAAACGACACGTACGCTGATTTTAATCAGTATCCATTTAGGACACACACCGATTTTGATTGGTTTCCATTTAAGTACGATAATGTATTTATTCACATGCTAATCGTATCGGTATTGATATATACTAAAAAAACAAATGTTCGGAGCTAGTAATTTACTTGTTTGGCTATCAGCTAAAAATAGACCAGATGAATTCGATAAAAATCTATCACTTCACCATAGATCGTGGTTGTAAGGGCATAACTAAAAATTCTGTTCGCAAGTGATGTATCTTTTTAATCGTAAAGTTGGCAGGTAGTTTTTTTTCGGATTTTAAGATTTTCGAAAAAATAATTTAGGATAGCTTCTAAAATAAAGATATGTATCCGAAAAAAGAGAACTCTCCCTATTGGCACAACAATAAGAATAAAATACGATATCGAAATTATATTTTGTAACTTATAATTTAATTGTAAGGATTTAATTTTATTCGCTTTAATTTTAATAGTAGTGATTATATCTATTATTGCTGTGCCA